GTGAAATTGCTTCATGCAGTCATCCTTTAACAGTAAAAACTTAACTAACCCGCATACTCGGAAATTGCCAAATATTCCATATAGTCGAGCGTAACTCGAAGAAGAGGAGGAGGGGAGATTGTAGCCGTTTTTTAGATTGCTCGGCTAAATAAATGATTTTGACATTCCGATATGTGCTTCATATAAAAGTAGACCAACAAAACTGAGAAATATTCTGCTTAGAAAGAACAGTAAAACTCTTTTAAGTGTTCATAAATAAATCTCAGACTGAACATCAAAATTAATTATCTCTGCAAAATAATTGTGCAATACGTGCGGCGTAATTCTTCCATACGTGATATTACGCAATCGGAATCAACAGCTGCCAGTATTCGGACAATAGAGAACTAAATAAAGGAAAAGAAAGAGACTTACTAATCTGGAGTGTTTTTGATTATAATTTTGAACAGACCATTAAATTTCCGAAATAGAATCATTCTTCGCTTGGGTTGGGTAGACCGCAAAACTTTTAGTCCTATTCAATCCAGATTGGACAGTGACAACAAAAAAAAAAAAAAAAAAAAAAAAAGTCCGCTGCTTCAATATTAAGAGATTTTGCGGAGAAAGGGGAGAACCTCCCAACCTCCATACTGTATAATGTATTGGAAAAAAAAAAAAAATATTCCGACTATTCGATTACTTTCCTTTTATTTAAGCCATTCCGAATATTATTCCTTAGAAAGCTAATGTGTGTAAAAATAAACCCATTTTTGGAAGTTTATCTACACTTCAGTAGCTACTGCAACTATATTATAAATATTCATACATATGCTCACAATATAAGCATAACGATCATAATAAACACGAATATGAACTGACCACGCAGAACGAGAATGTAAATTATTAAAATCTTGATAGAAATTCAAACATGTGTAGTATTTGTTTGGGAGAAAAAGAATACCAAATGTATTGGAATTTCTACGGTTTTCGCAATTCTTTGACCAATAGAACGACGTGCACCTGTCTGTACTCTCGTGCGCACCATAGGTTACGTTAATGCGGAGAAAGGGGGAAAAGCTATTTCCAGGAGTATGATTCACCATCTGACGTTCCATTGTAAGGAAGAAAAGTTGTTTATTTAGTTTCGGATTTGGTACGGGGGAAAATAGCGCGTTCGTTAGAAAAAGCACTAAAAGCAAAAAATAAGCACTAAAAAAATAAATAAATAAAAAATAAAATAAAAATAAATAAATAAATAAATAATAAAAAAAATAAGGGCTTTAAAGAAAAAGTAAGCATCTATAAGGGCCTTTATATTTTATTTTCAAATATAAGGACTTATAAGCACTTGTAAGGACCGCTACGAACCCTGTTTAATAATGATGGAAGAAATTCATAAAAGCTGGGCAGGAATACAGAATTTTGCCATAAAATCTTTAAAGGAAATAACGAGGAGATGTGTTTAGTAACCATCTGCCACTGCACAAATCTCAACTAGAATTCTCTGTTTTTTTAAACTGAAAACAGATTGCTGTGCACTTGGAGAGATGAACAGAAGACATGCTTTGATCTTAATTAAGATGGAATTAACAAAAACTTAGCCCATTAACACCTTATCAGTTTATCGTAGTAGATATGTAAAATACACATGGACACAGCAATGCAGTTACTGTTAGACTAAAGCACTTAATGTTATACTTAAAATACTACAACTTTAAAAAAAAATTCATTCAAAAAGTTTGGGGAGGGGAGAAGATGTAACAAAGAAAGCTACATGTCATACAAAAGGTACAACCCAGAAAAAAGCCTATATTCTGAATAGTTTGTGAGCATAAGTGGCAGACCAGTTAAATGAAGAACTTAACTTTCAGTACACCACATCGTCAGATGCACGGAATGTTCATTATTAAAAAAAAATAATAATTAACGATTCAGGAGTGCTTTGGAAAACTGCATAATCCCATAAGTCTATCTCCAACTTGTACACCTAGAAAGATGAATCAGAAAGTGTTGAAAGAATTTCATGCATTAATATTATAAGTAGAAAAAATTAAACTGAATATTTTGCAGGATTTAATTCTGTACTAATGAATAGGAAACGATACTTTGGAATCTGTACTTTTTTCTTTCAAATTCTCAACCAACAATTGCAGTTTTTAAATATGTATTAGAAAGGAGAAAAAATCCATAAAAAAGGAAGTTTTTTTAAAAACATTATACAGTCAAAAGTCTTTAATCGGGACTCGTCGGGACTTCGGCAATTCCGGATTATCGGTTTTTCCGGATCATAGATCATCAATTTAAATCTGGTAAGATGGCATGCAGAAATTATAAAATTAAAAATATGAAACCGTAATTTATGAAATAAAGAGCAATTATAATCTAAAGGGTATCGCAATTTACACAAAAAAAAAAAAAAAAAAAAAAAAAAGAGCTTCATAATTATTTGTTTACTTTATTAAACATTTCTTTTGAAGCGCGCATGCGTAAAGCATACATTACGCACAGTCGAAATTAGAATATTGCAACCAGAAAACTATTTGATGTGTATTCGTGATATTTATAATGACGAGGAATTTGATTTAAATCATATCAAAGACGGAGTACATCGAGATGAAATACTACATTTAGTAAGGAATTATAAGCGGGATAAAATAAAAACATCTGCCCTGAAGATAAGGATAGTGCTGACAGATCAACTTCCAGTTCATTGCGCGCTGCGACATCCCCCCCCCCCCGCAGGCAGCGTGAAATTGGTAAACAGATTTCGGAATGGTTAGAGAAACAAAGGATATGCCTTTATCAATTTTCTTCAGCAATTTCACTTTTTGTTTGATGGACATCGAAACATGCTTTTGCTTTGTAGATCCTTTGGCAGCTCCAGAATCGGAAATTCTTTTTGACATAATCGAAAGTTCAAGCTTACTTTTATAAAATTGCTCTAACAATCTGCAAAAAATAATAAGCTGGATACATTTGAAGTTTAAGGAACAACGCAATCTGCAACATTAACTGTATTAGATAATTTTAGCTTAGCTTATACCATCTGTTATACATTAAACGTGCATGTGTAAACATATTTTGCGCATGCGCACACGCATATTCGCAGACGTAAAGGTCTTACGCGCATGCGTCAACGTGATGCATGTGCAGAAAGTTTGTAGCTTTGAGGTCCGGATTATAGATCATTCCGGATTATGGGTGTCCGAATTAACGACTTTTGACTGTATGTGTATTTAATTATTTAATAATGTATTTAATTTAATAAGTATTTATAATGTATTAATTTCTATCTGAAAGTTAAAGTTTAGTACTTGCAAGATTTTGGTTACATTTTGTAATTGAAATACATTCAAAGCTAAATGCTAAATTTTCAGTTTCAGACTGACATTTTCTTTTAAATAATTCTAAACAGGTTAATAAATTATTAATACCTTACTTCAACTAAAATTAAACAAATTATAGAAATATTCCAAGTCTGCAGAGAAAACTTTTCAAAAGCACAAAACTGAGAGTAATTACTGACAACCTAGACTCTTTCTCTTATTTATAAAAATTTTCTTTGATACATTAAAAAAAATAAAATAAATAAAAAAAAAAAAAAAATATCCATGTTTGTACGTATAAAATTACAAACCACAACCAGACACTTGACTGCATTTTGATTCCAATATAGTTTGTAGTCTTGGAGAAAATTAACTAGAAATTATCTTTACAGATTGTAGATGCTTATCGGTCAATCAGATTCTCACCTTACTAATTTTAAACTGAGGAGAAAAAAAAAAAGCTGTCCATGTATAAATGTATTCCCAAACAAAGCAATTACTCTTATTGTAAAAATTCATAAATTTATTTTTTGGCAATTAATGAATAAAAGTTAATCAAATCTGCATCTTCAAATCTCTGAATATGATTTACATCACACTGTAAATAATTAGCTTTATTTATAGATTTTTTAGCATGTTATTCATGTTAATTTTTAATGGACTTCAAATAATTAAAACTGTGAAATCTTTGCAACACTGTATTTCAATGACTACATTATTCAAATAGTTGAAATACATACATAATTGATATGTGTATATACAAGGTAGATAAAATTGAAACACCCCTATTCTGAGCTCTCTATACATTGAACTACTGAGTGTAAAGGCTCCAAATTGTTAAACATACTATTCAAGACATGGGAAAATGAATTACATAAAAAAAAAGTTTAAAAAAAAAAAAAAAAAAAAAAAAATTAGTTTGAGAAACACCGATAGGTAGTGCTGTACAACAGAACATATGCTGAAATGACACAAAATACACTTCATAACTCATTTTAATCGAACATACCAAACATTCATATCACAAAGACTTAACTGATGCAAGGGAAGCTGCTCAATATGGTTTCCATCTTCAAGATGTAAAATCTGCAGTCTGTGGACAGCTTGTTCAACTACGGATGGTAATTGGTTGATTGAGATGCTTCTTATATGCAGCGTGATACTGTCTTTCAAATCTGCCAAAGTTACCAGACGTCGTCAATAAACAAGATTTTTTAAGTAATCCCATAGCCAAAAATCACATGGATTAAGATCTGGAGAACAAGACGGCCAGAGAGCGAAATTGCAGTTAGAATGACAGTTTAAGTTTCTTAACTTTTTTGTGTTCTTTTTTTCATATCAGCAATCTATTAAAAAGGAATATTTCAATACCTCATGTCTCTCTCTCTCTCTCTCTTTTTTTTTTTTTTTTTTTTTTGTGATTATTTGTGCCTTTTCAGCATATTTTCTGTTGTACAGCATATCGGTATTTCTGGCACTAATTTTTTTTTTTTTTTTTTTTTTTTCACGTAATCCCTTTCCCAGGGTCTTGAATAGTATGTTCAATAATTTCGGAGCATTCAGTAGTATCTCAATGCATAGAGAGCTCAGAGTAGGGGTGTTTTAATTTTAACCACCTTGCACATATATATCAATCTGATTACAAAACACTTAGTTAGAAACATACACATAATTTATCAATAAATGCATACTTACTGATCCGTATTCTAAGGAATAAAATTCTTTTTTAACATTGCCTGGCAGCTTCCCAGGTTTCCTGACGGGTATAAAAGGCACATTCATTTTTAATGCAAGAGTAGGTCCGAATAAAAACCCACGGGATTCTATGCCAACAATGCAGTGAACATCTGAGACTTTTTCCTCAATGTAGTTTTGAAAGAGTGAAATCATTTTGTCGAATAGGTGTGGATTTCGGAGAATTGGCAAAAAATCTCTGAAAAAGAAGGGAAAATCTTATACATACATTATTAAAAAAAAAAGTACATTAATATGACTAAAATATGTAGTCCTGAGTATATATAACAATTTAACATATTTCTTCAACACTGCATATGGAAATGCAAACAGAATCTCTGCAAAACAATCATTAACTTTTTTAAAAATTAATTACTCAACAGACAACACTTAATATGATCACATTTGCCCACGGCTATTTTGATAATATTAACTAAATGATACCCTTAGACAGGAAATGTATACTTCAAAATAGCGAATGGAATTAAAGTAATTTGTTTTAAAAATATCAATAAATTTATAAATAGGTATTTTCACAGCATTTTAGTTAGAACAATCCAAAAGTCTGCGTATGAACTCTTCATAATGTCTTTAATGCAAAAGTTCATTTATGAACTGTTTATAATATTACTGGAAAATATTTGGCTGATGATGTTTAGTACACCTGCTATAAATGACAATACAGCTTTGTCCTGGTTTTAAAGGAGAATCCCCAGAATATAGGTACAAAGGTATTACTAAACCACTTGACAGAACTTTTGGCTTGATGCGTTTTACATGCTATACAATTAAAATCATCCAAGCTTTCTCCAGGATTTGAACCCAGGCCCAAAAATATGGCAAACAGTAATTACGAACTGCTATACTGGTTAAGGCAAACTTTAATTACGAAGGGCAAAACAAAAATAATGCAGTTAAATCATTTAACAATTCAACAATGCCAATTATAACTGAAAGACTTTTATATTCACATGATATCAGCTTCAAATGTGGTACCATGTTAGTTCATAAACTTTAGTATTACATAATACTTGACTAAATAATATCAACGTGGTTAAGAGTACAAAATAATAGTTTTCATCTATTCGGTCTCCATTTTTTTTTTTTTTTTTTTTTTTTTTTTAAACTAAGAGAAAAAGCTATTCCCCCCCTTTTTTTTTCCTTTTCTTAGAGAAACAGTCTTTCTTGAATTATTAAAAACACTTTTTATAATTTTATTGTTCCATACAATCTAAGAAAGAATATCGTAGAGAGAGTTACTGTAATAATCTAAGAAAAACTGTCATTACATTTATTTTTGCAGTTTAAAGACTGTGTTTACGTGTTAAAACAATTGCCCAAGTAGAAGTCATCAAATTTTCAGAATGTGCCCAACTCTGGCCACCATTTACATAACAATTCTTCAGGCAACCTTACTCATAGCAGTTCTTCAATTCAGCGATGTTGTCATTTTTGTATGCATTCTTCCTACTATGTTTCAAGTTCCAACAATTTTTATAGATAAACTGTGATAGTTTTTGCCTTCAACTCAGTTTTAAAATCTGCATTTGTGGAATTTGCTAGCATTGGAAGAAACTGCGGTAAAATTTTTGTAAGAATACTTTGCCACACAAATTGATTTAATCTGCTATTAAAAGAATTGCCAAGAAATTTCCATCAGAACAATAGAAATCAAAACCAGCTTCTAAGAGATTTCTTGATTGATTTTTATGATAAATACCAAATTAGAATGTAATAATAATTATATACATATTATGTAAATTTTTGTAAGTGAATTAAATGATGACTCATGTCATACTGTCATAAAATGTCATAACATTTTTTCTTCTGTAACAAATATAAAATTTTGCCAAGGTGGTTGCATTAACAAGTAGAGAAAAAACATGGGCTATATTGCAGAATCGCCGCATATCGATGTGTACATGGACAAAGTCAAGGGAGTGCACAATGCCAAGTTTGTGCAATTCTATGTTTTTTAAGTGAAAATAGGTTGATGTATACATGGATACTGAGTTTGTGCAATTCTTTGACTTGTTATTTTCAAGCTGATGTAGAATCGCTTATTCGTATGGTGTGTATCGATGTGTACAAGGACAAAATCAAGGGTGTGTGCAATGCCAAATTTGTGAAATTCTCTGATTTTTTTTTTTTTTTTTTTTAAGTGAAAATAGGTCAATGTGTGCATGGATAGCACGTTTGTGCAATTCTTTGACTTACTATTTTCAAGTTGGCAATTTTGAGAAACGTGCAAAGCAGTGGACGATTCTGCATTTTCCCCAAAACATGTTTCATTATGCAAAACTATATAATAGGTTCTCCTTTCTTGAAAAATGAGTTTTTAAATTTAAACACTTAAGGGTTATGGGCATAAAATTCTGCAGAGAAGGATGGCTTTTACATGAAAATTTCTGACCAATGGATCACATTTCAGTTTAAATGTATATTGCAAAAAAAGGAGTCAATGTACAAAGTAATTATTTTGGAACTATAATCAAGAAAATACCACTTATGTGTGATATTTTGAGGAGCTACAGGGTTTCAGAGCTAAAGCCACAATACTGGAAGGACTGAAGGTTGTCAAATAACATTGTTTTATAAATTGCTCTCATTAAAAAATACGTTCCCCTTTAAGTAAACTATAAGAATATAAAATGGTCACATACAGTGGCTCCCAAAAGTGTTTGTACACTTATGATTTTCATTGAAATAAGGCTCTATCTATTCATTAAAAGTAAACTTTATGAATGAGATTTTAATATTACGATCTATAATCTATTCGTAACAAAATTATATGAAATATTTTTTAAATATAAACTTTATTTTTAAGAAATTAATAATAAAAAAATGACAAACATTTGATCTCCCAAAAGTCTTTGTACATTTAAAAAAAAAATCTTGACATATTAGTAAGTATTTTTATTTTTTGTTAAATTAATATTTAGTAGGATATCTTTTAGCATCCCCAACAGCTTTTAAGCAACTGAGAATAGATTTTACTAGTTTTTTTTTAATTTCTGTATCAATGTTCATCCATTCTTCCATCATGACTGTTTTGAGTTCGCTTTTCGTTTTGATGTCGTGTTTTCGTACTCTAACCTCCAGTTCTTTCCAAATATGTTGTATGGGGTTCAAATCTGGCAACTGAGGTGGTGTTTTCAAAATCTGTGGACAATTATAGAGATACCATAGGTGAACGTTAAGAGCCGTATGTTTAGGATCGTTTTCATGATTAAAAATAAAGTTGTTTCCAATATCCAAATTTTGGGCTGAAAATTTTAAATTATCTTTTAAAATATTTAAATAAAGAGAATGATTCATTATGCCATCAATAAATACCAAATTACCTAGTCCTGATGCTGCCATGCACCCCCACACAAGAACAACTCCACCACTATGCTTAACTATTCCAACTAAGTTCTTAGAGCGAAGTTCCTCATTTTTTCTTCTCCATACAGTCATTCGACCATCAGAACCAAAAGTGTTAAATTTGCTTTCATCAGAAAATAGGACATTATTCCAGTATGTTTCGAGTGTATTTATCATTGATTTTGCGAATGAAAGCCTAAGCTTTCTGTTTTTCTCACTAACAAAAAATCTCTTACGAGCAGAACGCCCATGTAAGCTTCTCTTAGAACTCGTGGAACAGTTTGAGGTGAAATTGAAGAGCAAAACTTTGCAGAAACTTTTATGGCACTCAAATGTGGATTTTTCACAAGTTTCTAATAATAAATCTCTCATCACGTTTAGTTAACTTTCCTGATCGACCTTTTCTTAGCTTGTTTTCAATCCGATTTTCTTCTTTAAAGAGCTTTATCACATACTGCATTGTAGAATGGGATAAATTAACTAATTTACTGTTATTTCGAATTGATTTACCACTACTATGGTGAAAAATTATCAATTTCCAAATGCTGTTTGTAATTTCTTTACGACTGCGACCCATTTTTCAATAATAAATAGAATATTATGAAGTAAACAATAAAAAATTAAAGTAAATGATTTTTTAAATGCCACCACAAGGCAAAAATTTTTAAAAAGTGGCAAACAATAATTCTAATTTTGATTTTATTCAAAAATATTTCAGTGTACAAAGACTTTTGTGAGATAAAATGTTTGTCATTTTTTTATTATTAATTTCTTAAAAATAAAGTTTTGCTATATTTTAAAAATATTTTATGTAATTTTGTTACGAATAGATTATAGATCTTATTAAAATCTCAGAAATTTTATTTTTAATTAATGGACAGAGCCTTATTTCAATGAAAATCATAAGTGTACTTTTTTGGGAGCCACTGTATCCTAAACTAGACTGAATCTATGGACTGTTATTAAAAAAAAACTTCCCAAAATAGTTTTTACTAATAGAAGCACATATTTTTTTATGCAATAAAATTTTACTCTCAAATCTTAAAGCATTTTACAATGAATTTTACAATTAAAAAAGGCACACTCCCTTGCTATTGATTAAAGGCAATATTATACACTTATAAAGTATTTGGATCCAAATTATTTTAATCCAAATAATTTCAACTCTTGCAATCATTATGATTCTGTAAATAACTTTTCATGCTGTTCATAACCTAAAAATGCATTAACAGTGAAATCAGTTATAGATTCAACTTAAAATATTTCTCGTATGAAAGAATTAACTCTAAATATCTGAAAAAATATTTTATGACATTTATATGATTACACTGGATATTAATTTGTAAATATTTCACAGTTTTGTGCATTTATGCAAATGCAGAATATCTTTACTCTTAATAATGATATGTATTTTGTAATTTATGAAACATTTATGTAAAAATTACAAATATGAAGCAACAGTTTCAGATATGATAGTAGTTGCATACACTAAAAGGCGTTTTCAATCTTATGTTTGGCACCTACATGCAATGTGAACACTACATATGGACAAAATTAATATTAGATAAAGAGATTCATTTCTATAATCGTTATCAATCAATTAAGAGACGGATTTAGCTAATCAATTGCTAATTAATTTTTTAAAACACAGTTAATATATTTTGTCATGTCACTTCAATCTGCGAATGAAATATATTTTGTAGCAAATATTAAAATCTATTCATAAATTTCATGGACAAACAGATAAAGTCTGTTGTGTTAACAGTTACGATTTTTTAACAATTGCTTATAGTTACCAAAATATAATCCAACGTTCGTTTACCTAAAAAGAACACCTTTTTTGGGAAAATCTGGATAAGACTGAATGGCACTTTTAATTTCAAGTATTATACTTTCGGACATTGTCGCGCTCAACGCTTTACCGGCGAAACCACACTCAGATTTCAATTACTAACCACGTGAAGGTTTTTCAGATCGAATGATAATCTCCGAGATATGATAATACAAGTGGTTTCTTAGAGAGGAGCAGTTTGTATTAAGGCTCCTATATACCAGGCTGAATCATCAGGCATTCGCTATCCCAAGTGGGAGATTAAATGGCGGCTGTGTAGTTACGGTGCAACAATTTTTTGTGTTTTTTTTTGTGTAAAATGGGCGGATGTGCAGCTATTAATTGTTCAAATCATTCACGGAAAGGTCATACATTGGTAAAATTTCCTAAAAATGAAGAAAGAAGAAAAATATGGGTAAATAATTGCCGAAGAGACAATTGGAAACCTGGTCCAGGCGCTGAACTTTGCTTAGTAAGTATAATGTTAATTACGCCTTGATTTAGAGTTTATATCTTCTCTGATGTTTATAATGTGTAAGTAAAGTGAAATTCTTGTGTACAATAACCTAAGTATCTGCTAATTTCTGTAATAATAGCTATAATTAAATTAGTCTAGGGTTAATGTACCCGTCGCCAAACATCGCCAATGTGGATGTTTTGAATGTGGAAAAGAAATTTCTCTTCTAATATAAAGCGCAAATTTTGTTTTCCTGTGCTAATTGTGGAAATTATACTAATGTAACATGAAAATCATTAGCATATTGAAATTTATTAAAAAACAAATCATAATTTGGAAAGTCAAGATAAAATCTGAATGTTTGCTAAAGATATATGTAACATTATACTATAGTTGCAATATCGTTGGAATGATATATAATTTTTTTCTTTATTTTATAATCACTATTGTTAAAAAGTTAGATGAGTTTTTATGCACGGTGCCCACTAATGTTTCTTGGTTAAAATAACTTCCAGAATTTTGACATTGACATCTGAAGTCAATAGAATAAATTGAATAGTATGAGACAAAATATATATAATCTGACTTCAATAATTGCAAGTACCATATATTTATAATCACAGTATTATACAATTTGGCAATGGAGTAAAGATTTAGAAATGAATGCAGAACATTCAAATAAGCACAGAAAACTTGTGAAACTGCATGTGTATTTTTCAAAAATAATTGTAGTGTTTTTAATGCATGTGTAGTGTTTTAATGCATGCATAACAATCAAATAAATCTGCCTATAATGATGAATTTCAAAGGCCAAGCCAAAATCCTTTCATGAATTTGATACTTCTAAAGAATGTGATCTCGTCAAATTAAATCCTCATGACATTGATAAACAGTTATTACTGATATGTGTTACAAAGCAGATTTTTATACATGATAAATAATATTTTCTGAAGCGTTATTTTGTGTTGTCATCTCTAAATAAGAAATTGCCTACAAATTCAGAAAGCTACTGAACTACGTTCTAGAGTTTTTAATAACTTTAATTGGATATGTCTGTGGGGATGTAATTTAAAAAATTGTCGTTTAAACTGGCCTTGATGCTTTTTAAAATGCATGTTGGCACTGTGCTTCGAAATTAGGCCTATGTTTTGAATGATTAGAGAATTAAAAATTAAATATTTCAATTAAAGCAATAAACATTACTACAATTATAACAAGAATCATAGTCTGCTCTAATTATAAATGTATTTATCGGCCTAGTATCTTAAAAGTTGGGTGAAGTGAACTCTTATTTTCTTATCTATTGTAAGAGCACTATAGCAAGAAATATAAAGTTTTATTTTAGTTGTTTTTAATTTTATAGCAAAACACTACTTCATTTAATTTTTGGATAATGTTCTAAAGAACACTTTAAATTATAGGCAAAAAATAAATATTGGATAATTAAATTCTGCCCAAGCTTACAAGATGCTGCTGCTGATATGTTAGACATGGTTTGTTTATTGTTTCAGTTTTTTATAATACTGGGCCTAATTTAATTACCTGCATATTTATTTATTGCCTATACTTACTTACAGTTCATGCTTGCTGCCTTTGGCACAACCTCACTGTGTGAAACACTTTTCTCACATTTCTTTCGTGTGGTTTGTTTTTTGTACTTTTATTTATTTTGTATACTTTTTTTTATTACTTTATGTATTTACAGGATCATTTTGAGGAATCTCAATTTGAGTCACTATGCAAAGATAGTTAAAAAACTAAGAAAAACTGCAGTACCAACACTCTTTAGCATTCCAAATCCACCACCATCTGTAACTGACAAGAGGATAAGAGAAGTAAGATGTCCTAAGCCAAATACTGAAGTGGTAAATTATTTAATATTCTCCAAAAAAATTGTTGAAAAAATCATTGTTATTACAAATATATTAATTCAGTCAACCATTGTTTAAAAAAATAATCACAGCATAACATGTTTACTATTTCTTTTTGAATTTAGGAAACTCTACCTGCTTCAAATGAAGAGTTGTTAAAAAAAAATAGAATTCCTTGAGCAACAGCTTCAAGAAAAAGATGCAAAATTGACATCATTTTTGTCCGATGAGCAAGTAGGAACCCTTGCTGTGCAGTCAAAAAGGAACTGGTCAGAAAAGTCCATTATAAAAGGACTGAAGATGCGATTTGCTTTGAGCAAACATGGATATAATTACCTCAGAAGTACTGGATATCCAGCACCATCGTACAGTACCTTGAACAGGAGGATTAGGGACATAAAAATTAATTTCGGCATTTTAGAAAATTTGTTTTTTTTTCCTCAAGACAAAAGTTCATTCATTGGATGCTCTTGATAGGAACTGCTGCCTTTTAGTTGACGAAATGGAAATAGCTTCATATCAAGATTTTGATACATCGTCTAAGTCATTCATTGGAAATGTTACGTTAGGGAAGCTAAGCATTACACTATTGTAATGCTTAGAGGCCTTAAAACATCATGGAAACAGATTGTTGCCAATGAATTAACAGGGCCTTCAACATCAGGTTCTGACATGAAAGATCTAATTCATAGAACTGTAGTAGCAGCTACAGAAATAGGTTTAACTGTAAGAGCCTCTGTTTCAGATATGGGAAGCAATAACAGAGCAATGTGGTCGTCATTGGATGTGTCTGTCTCTAGGAGAGATAGGAAGACAAATTACAACATTGGAGGACCTGATGTTTTCATTCACAGTATTGCAGATGTACCACATCTCATTAAAAAATATGAGAAATACATTTCTTTCAAGTATTATAATATTACCAGAGGAATTTCGCCACCAGCATGCCTTGCCATCGAGGATAGTATCTTCAGTGTATGTGAAACGACTCTGGTCAAGTGAGATAGAAGCAGATGCTGCCCTGAGATCTCTACATCACTTGAACAGAGTTCATCTCTTCCCAACACACTTTTCCTCGATGAATGGTGGCATCTGCTGTGCAATTGTTTTCTGTAAAAACAGCTGCTGCTATTGAAAAAGCAGGTATTTTACACCAAGTTGCAAAAGAAGCATTAACTTCTGCATGGTGGCTGAGACTTGTAGCAGAATGGTTTACAATTATGACTACAAGGCATCCAAAAAAAGGCATCACTATCAAAAATCAAGATGAGAAATTTAATATTTTATTGAAATTCATTCATGTGACTGAAACTGTTCAGTTTGGGAAAGCATGGAAGCCATTTCAAACTGGCATTATTATGAGCACATTGAGTGTTGTGAAACTCTCAAAAGAATTATTTTCCGAGGGGTTTACATTTTTCTTACCAGGCAGGTTGACACAAGATGCGCTGGAAAATGCCTTTTCACAGATTAGACGAAAGTTGGGTGCAAAGCCTACTGCTTTGCAAGCCAAGAGAGCACTGAAATTAGTGTGCCTATCACAGTTCATTTCAGATATCAATAATCCAAATTATTGTTCTGAAAGTGACCACAGCCTCTTTGATGCTTCTGAATTAGAGGTTGCTATCAGAAAGGAGGTCTTGCATCCTATCTCCAATTCTGTAGTGCCATCTACCTCTTCTGCAGTGGCAGTGAAACGTCGCTTGCCCCCAGCTGTGGAAGAAAATGATATACATTACATCGCAGGAGCCATATATAATAAGTTGTTGAAAAAAAAAAAGCATATGTGAAAATTGTAAAACAGCTATGACCATTTCAGAGGACATGCTGGAACCTGACATACCCGAGCATCGCACAATTCTTACAAAACATAGCAATAAAGGTGGACTGAAGGTCATCTCTTCAGGAATGTATCAAATATGTAGGGAAGCTGAACGAGAATTTCAAAAATGTAAAGATGTACTCCTTCGTTTACAATCAGCCATCACAAAAGAATTAGTTGAAAGAATAATTGATAAATGTACGCATGTGGCCATGCCAGAATGCTGTAATCTTAAGAAAGTAATTATTGATAATTTTTTTATTACTAGATGCAAAGGCCTTACACAGCATCTTATCAACAAAAGAGCCCATAACGTTTCATATTCATCAGCATCGGCCAATAAGAAACAAAAAGTAAAATAATTTTAGAAGGTATGTATGTTTTATATTAAATAATTTATGTGTTTTATGTAATATGTATTACTTTTTCCTAGGCTACGAGTATATAAATTTCTGTGTTTGATGTTATATATGTTACTTTCTGCTAGGCTATGAGTATATTATTATGGTATTATTTTCTTGTTTCTAATATATAGAAATATAGCATATTTTCCAGTATAAAATTTCAGTTCAGTTTTACTTAAAAGTATGGGAAAGCAGATTTGTTTCATGCATGATCTTTATAATACTGGTATGAAATGAATGAATTTTAATCTGTAAACAATTTTTTGTTAATATTGAAATGTGTTTCCTTGGGTACATTTTTAGGCACTTGTGGATCATGTCAGACAACATGCAATAGAAAAAAGATGTCCGTGTGCATAAATTTTTCATTGTGTTACTTCATTTTATCTAAATTTCAAGGATAATTCTTTTCATTTTTATATGGCATGTTATTAGTATAAAGGCTAGTGAAAATAAATTGGTATGTGTATCTGTTTTTGAAGTGTAATGCTTAAATAAAAAGATGGTGTGTGTTTCTTCATTTAAATAAAATTTCAAAGATAGTATTTTTCAGCGTTGTACTGTTTGTTATTTCTCAATGTAAAGGGTAACAAGGGGAAAAAAACTGGTATGGTACATCTGTTTTTTAAGCATGATAATTTTATTTATTTCTTTAGTGATGCATATATATAGAGAGAGAAGGTATTTGGTCCAACTGAAGTTATAATAAATCTAATTTTACTAGATCTCTCCCTCCCCTCAGGTGTAGAAAATTTTCAAATGCAGAAAGTTTATTTGCAGAATTAATTCATTTCTGATAAACTTATTATCATTAATTTTTTATATACCATGTTATTAAGTTACACGTATGACTACTGTGTAATAAACTTGTATTTAGGGCAAAAAATTAACTGTTTTGCAGCTGGTGACTAATATCATATGCTTCTAAGAATATTACTTTAACTTTTTTCATAACTTTTGTATTTCAGGAACATGAAACTGTTATTTTGATATACTTAAATAATAAAAGTGTGTATCTGAATCAATTAATGGATACAAATATTTTACAGTTATTTTTAGAAGATATTTGCCATATCGCTTCTAATAATTCATAAAGTATATTAAAATATAGGTAAATAATTTGGTGCAGAATTCAAATTTAGGGTTTGAAATATAGTGAATCATGAGACTAAATGATTTTTATTGTCATGATTTGCCTGGGCTTAAGAATGTACTTTTCGCCCGGTGGAAATTGTCATCAAACTGTCCTGAACAGGCTTTTTGTTGATAATAACTTCCAGGCTTATCAGTACCTCCTTTTGAGTGGAGGGTATACAAATATAGTACCCAATTTAAATTACATTGTGATTGTAATAATATTGTGGTATTAAATAAGTGATTATAATTACAATTTAGATAATTGCTTTGTAATTATATTACATTGTATCTGTGAACTCTTAATTTCATTACTTTATGCAATTATGTTGTAAGTGCATAATCTAATTGCAATAATATAATCTATTCACAATTACAAAATAATTATAAATGCAGTTACATCTTAAATAGAGGCCATTTTAATACTTTTAAATTTTTGCAAGATAACTTCCCATTAAGGTTCATTTGGAGGAAACTATGCAAATACTAAAAAAGAAGTTATGTTAAATTTACATATTTTGTACAGTAGTTTCTTGTTATAATGCTGTTCAATATATCTTCAATACTTTTGTAAATTTAACGACATTCTTTGCAATTACTGTGGGGCTTTAAAAAGAAGTTTCTTAGTTATGCTTTCTAATAAGAATGTGTTAAAAATTAAGTATTATGTATAATAACTAACAATTAAAAAACTTGACTGCATGAAAATGCTGTTGCTGTGTAAAATAAAAAATAAGCTTTCTTTTATGCTTTGAAATGAATTACATGTGGTTAAGTCGTCCTTTTACAATTTAAGAATGTGGTTAACACACATTCTTAAATTGGACAGGTTTTATCTAAATTATTAGTATAAAATATATAAACTATGAATTATTTTGTAACATAACTCAAATTACAAAATTCATTCTATATACGTTCAAATTTATTATCTTTTATGGAATAACTGTTTTTTAATTTAGGTAAAAATTGGATTTTTAGAAGTATTACAAATACAATGCAACACAAAGGTGATCTGATTGGAGAGGAAGGACTTTTTATTACGGTTTCTAGTTCGTATTTATATTACATTTGGTGAAAAGTCATCCAAAACACAGAATGCTGTACTTTCTTCTTCCATATATGTTATGAAATATTTCACACATTTAAAAGAAAGTGTTTCTTCAGAGTCTTGCACAATTATTTCCATATACCTCAGACTAAAATGACAACATATTCTTAAGTTATTTTTTTAGTATGAATTTACAGTGTTTTTATGGAAATTTTTGTTAAAATGTCATTAAGATAAATTTATTTGCACACTCTACGCTTTAACTATTTCCCCATTTGACACTATTGAAAGTTTTTATTCATATCTTATTTATTTTAGTCTGCTAACGAAACTGAAACATCTAAAGAATAAGTTATTTTGAATATGTTTACAAAATATACGCGAAATTTTTATTTAAGTGAAAACGTCTATATACTATTCGAGAATTAATTAATTATCCGAAAAGTTTATGTGCGCTGAATGCCGCGCGTCTATAAAATAAATCTTTAAAAAAAAAACAGCAGACATTCAGCCAGCGTGTGCGATAAACGCGCCAAAATTGGTAGCGCGTTCCCTCCCTCGCCAAGAGAGAAAAGTTGTGATTCAGCCTGTTTGGTTTAGGTATAGAAACGTAAAAAATCGTAATTTGTTAATTTTAGTTATGAAAAATAAACCAATCTTTTCTAAAATAATTCAAGGGAACCCTCTCATGTGGCAATTCCTTTAAAAAAAAAAAAAAAAAAAAAAAAACCTGAAGAGGAATCGCTTAGCGAGTTTCACAGAAATATTGCACTTTTGATTAAGCAAGTTTACCTAAATCTTTCAACGCAGTAATTTAGCTTTTTTAACACCTATAATTCTTTATTTATTAAATTTTGATTTACCTACTTCTAAATTTAATTTTAATAAGCTAGTCTCCGCTTTTGACTATAATCTCTGCCACGTTTTTAGGTTCAATAGTTTCTCGTTAACATAATTAAATGCTACCTGACTGGTAGACACTTTGTCGATCAGGTAACAGGAACACTCTCCACTCGTAGGCTCATCCAAACTGGGGTCTCCCAGGGGTCCCTTCTTGGACCTACATTTTTCAATATCTACGTAAACGACATTCCCACGACACTCGCAATGTATGCTGATGACACTGCGATTCTCTCTCAAAATGCATTTGTTAGTCCAGCTATACAAAGGCCTACAAGATTACATACATACACTTGAGACTTGGCTGACCAAGTGGAAAATTAAAGTCAATCATTAAAAAGTTCCGAGTAAGTAAACTGGTTTGTTATACATGCCCAGTTTGGGCGTATTCCTGCAAATCTGCCAGAAAAAAAGCTACAAACTGCCTAGAATTATGTACTGCAGCGGATTACTGATTCTCCGTAATACGTGAGAATTACGTGAGGAATTACGCGTAGAACAGTTTAAGCCATCCTATTGCCGCACTGCCTGGATGTTGGAGCTAGGGTTTTCAGCGCCCAGGGACAACTGAAGATTTCGCGCCCCCTACTGGCTGCCAAGGATGGAAAACATTTAATTCTAAAATGCCGTAACATCAGTTTGGCGCCCCTTGGATTCTGCGCCCGGGGACAGATGCCCCCCTTGCCCCCCTCTAGCTACGCCCCTGTCAAAAACGAATCAATAATCCTGTCATCAGGGTATATGGTTTCAGGACGATGATATTCGCACCAGCGGTGAAATTAGCCGCTTGTCGCGAACGACGCACATTGTTCTCATCGGATTAAGCCTCCAGACCGACGAGAAGCGAAAAAGAAAGTTTGATTTTTGAGAACTGGCATGTACGCTTTTCGAGTAAGTGACGCTTTAGAATAATGACGTTTTTTTAGAATAGTGACGCAGTAGAATAATGACTCTATTAGATATGTAGAACAATGACGCTAAGTAGTTAGAAGTGTTTTGATGTTGTAATGATTTAGATATTGTTCCTCTTTTGTGTAAAATGTCAAATAAAGTGATTCATACAAAATAGTGGTAATTTTAGATGAGTTTTTGAAACCAAATCGGCTAGTCTACCAAAGCGGCGGACCAGAATCGAAGAACGCGGATCATAAAGGTAAGAAACCTTTCTTCATTTGCTTATCTAGAATTTCGAATGATCTGTTTTTTACTGAATTGAAATGATATATTTAATGGCGCCCGAACAGGGACCGCCGAAGTAGACTATATTGAAGTGAAAGATTTAGGAATGTTTGAAAAATATTTCCTTTTGATTTGAGAATACTGATTTGTAATTTGAAATATTTAAACATGTCTACTAAAATAGAAGAGTTAAAGAAAAGGCGAACTGTAGCTCGGAGTGTGACAACAAAGTTGATAAATAATTGTAAAGAATACCACCAAGAAACAGAATACGATTTGTGTATTCTTTAATGAAAGTATTGATTTATTAGATTCAAAATATAACAGAGCCTAAAAGAATTAGATAAACAAATACAAGAATTAATTGAGGCTAATGAATATGAATCGGAATTTGAAACTTGCGAAGTTTATTCCGAGAAAATAATTTCCATGAAATCAAAATTAACATTTATGTTAAAAGAGAAAAGGAAACCTGAAATTCCTGTCTAGAATACAATTGATAATATTGTGAATGATATTTCAAATATTTCTGATTTTCATTCAAAAATTAAATTGCCCAAATTATCGATTAATAAATTTAATAGCGATCCTGTTCATTGGTTATCATTTTGGAACCAGTTTGACAATGCAATACATCAGAATAGTGATTTAACAGATACAAACAAATTTAATTATTTGATTTCGTTTTTATCGGGTGCTGCTTGTAATGCTGTTAGTGTTTTTGCATTATCAAGTGAAAATTATTTTGCCCCAAATGCACATATGGGAAAACTGTTAAATTTAGAACCTGTTAAGAATGCTAGCAACATATTTGCATTACGTAAGTTATATGATGATATCGAAATACAGATAAGAAGTTTGAAATCACTTAATGTAACTTCTGGCACATATGGCTCATTATTGACACCAGTTTTATAAAAATTAATTCCGAATGAATTGAATTTCGATTTCCAAAAAAAAAAAAAAAAGGAAATCTACAGATAATTTCAATGTAAGCGAATTATTACTACAAATACAAGATAAAATAAACAACCATAATTCGAGCCACTTTTTTAAAGAAAAAAGAATAAATAAAATTTCTATTCCAACGGCTGCTGTGTTAA